AACAACAACAACAACAACAACTGGTTAGTCTTCAGAGTGACATCTTTGTTTTTTAAGGGTTTCGATCCTCTTTCGTAGTGTATTTCCCCACTGCAAAACAGTTTTGCTTTCTTGACTTCTGCTTCATGGATGTTGATTGTGGATCCAAGCAAAATGAAATCCTTGACAATTTCAGTATTTTCTCTACTTCCTCTAATGTTGCTTATTAATCCAGTTGTGAAGATTTTTGTTTCCTTCACACTGAAATATGATCCACTCTGAAAGCTGTAGTCCTTGATCTTAATAAAATAAGTACTTCAAATCCTCTTCACTTTCATCTTTACATCAAAATATGAATGCTGAGCAAATAATCAGAGAAGCTGTGGTATACGAAGAACATGCAATCAGGATTGGAGGAAGACTTTGTAAAGATTACAGCCAAGATCATCCTCTGGGGAAGTTCTAATCTTGTCACATGTGTCAGTAGGTGTTCTAATTGATGTAATGACACCCAGCAAAATACCACCTTCAACTGGTCCAGTTTAAAGCATAGTGCTTGACCAATAAATAAAGGAATACATTTTTAAAATGAATGAATGAATTGGAAGAATTCTCTTGCTTGAATTTAAATTTATACTTTTGATTTAGTAGGTACTGTAGCATCAATCTCAGAATACCCTTAATATCACCATTCTAATGTTTTCATTATACTGGGCAATTAATTCTATACTTAACATGTATTTTCAGATGGTTATGATCATGGTCTACATGAAATTTCATTGTTGGTGTTATTCTTTTGAGTTAGCTTTTGCAAATATTGCTTGATTACTGCTTTCTGTTTTCATAATGACTGTGCTGTGTTAGAGTGCTATAGTTTACAAGCTCTGCATACTTTAGAAATACTTCCTGTTCTTGCCATTGGTCAGATTATTTTTTCCTTTTCCAAATATGAATGCCAGTACTTCTCATGGGAGCCAATGTTTGGTGGTGTTGGCTAGCCCACTGCCCTTTCTTATAATTCTTGTTCTCTGGTATTGATTTAAGTGCTACATTCCTATTGACACTGAGAAGGATGGCGAATAAAGCTAACTTTAAAAATATCAGATAAAAAACTCAGTATTTTTTTTTCTGAAAAACTCAGTATTTTAAAGGTGATTTCTTTCATCCCCAGACTTTCCTCCAAACTATTATGTAATAGAAAAAGCATTTTATTAAAAAAATCCTCTGTTGCATCTAAAATGATATGAGGCATTTGTTTACACTAAGGTTGCTTTCTTCAAAAGTGAGAATAGAAACAAGACCATTACTATACCATGTTAATACCATTGATCCTTTTATTGCTTTAATACAAAAGAAACCTCATTGTGCTGTCATATAATACACTGAAACATATAAAATTTAAACTTTATTCTCTTATTTCTCCTAGTGAGAAGTTGGATGGAAAAACTCAAAGACAAGGTAAGAAACTATTTTCCTCCTTTGAGTGGATTTTAAAGGGTATGAGTTTGTCAATCAAAAGATCAGTTTGGTACAATTTACAGACACATATATCAATGGACTAGAATTCATTGAGAATCTAGAAATCAGCCCATCTTCTTATGGTCAACTGATTTTTGACAAGGAGAAGAAATCAGTTAAGTGGGGAAATAACAGCTTTTTAAACAAACGGTGTTGGCAAAATTGGAAAACTATCTACAGTAAACTCAAGCAAGACCCACACCTCACACCATTCACAAAAATCAGCTCAAAATGAATGATATATTTTTCTAAGGACTAGCCCCTTCTGGTCCCAGGAATTGATAGAATACCCAGTGACATATTCTAGCTAACAGATTTAGCCCTGGGTGGCTCACCAGGTTGTGTCAAGAAATCTGTAGGTCAGCTACCTGTTTAAATGACTGGAAGAGATACATATTTATTCACATTCCCAAAAGGGTTATCCACCACAGTGTAGAAATTATCGAACAATATCATTAATATGATATTGAAGCAAAATCTTGCTGAAGACTGTAAAAAAAATTTACTAGAATAGTACATCATCAGAAAACTGCCAGAGATACAAGCTGGTTTTAGAAGAGACCATGGTACTAGGGATATTGTTACTGATGCCAGGTGTATCTTGGCTGAAGGCAGGGAGTTCAGAAGGATATCTATTTGTGTATTATTGGCTATGCAAAAACATTTGACTCTGTGGGTCTCAATAAATTGTGGCTAACACTAAGAATAATGGGAATCCCAGACACTTGATTATGCTCATGCAAAACCTATTCTTAAACCAAGAAGATGTTGTCAGAACAAAGCAAGGGAATGCTAAATGGTTCAAAATCAAGAAGGGAGTATGTGTCTTAGGAATGTATCTTTCTCTATACCTTTTAGTCTATATACTGAACAGATAACTTGAGAGGCTGAACTTTATGAAGAAGAATATGGCATCAGGATCAGAGGAAGACTTTAACAATCTGCATTTTTTGTTGACATTGAGGAAGACTTGAAGTCCTTGCTGCAGAAGATCAAGGACTGCAGACTTCAGTATGGATTGCATTTCAACATCAAGAAAACAAAAATCCTCACCAGCAGGACATCAGTGTCATGATAGGTGAAAAAAGAGTGATGTTGGTAACAATTTTATCTTGCTCAGATCCATAATCAACATCTTAGCACCAGCAGTCAGGAAATCAAAATATGAGTTTCTTTAGGAGTCTACTGTCAAGGACCTCTCCAGAGTGCTAAAGAGCAACAATGCCAGTCTAGAGCCCAAGGTATGCCTGATCCAAGCCATGGTATTTTCCTTTCTTGCTATGATTTTGAGAGCTGGACAATGACTGAGGATAACAGAAGAATCTATGCCTTTGAGCTATGGTTCTGGAGAAGAGTATTGAACATTCAATGGTCTGCCAAGAGAACAAGCAGGTCTGTCTTGAAGAGGATGAAGCAGGTTGCTCCTTGGAGGCAAGGGTTTTGAAATTCTGTCTCACATATTTTGGGCATACTCTCAAGAGAAGGACATCATGCTTGGAAGGGTCATAGGGCAGTACAGTAGAGAAAAACCCTGGATGAGAGGGATTGACACAGTGACTGTGAAAGTGGGGTCAGGATTGTCAGAGACACTGAGCTTGGCTCAGACTTTAAAAAGGAATAAAAATAATAAAAATTTGCATACAGTGTCAACAAAGATAATATGTATTTCATATACCTAGCAGATTCATAATCTGTCAGAGTGGCTTAGGGGTAAGAAGTTGCCCTACCAAACCAAAAGCGAATGATTTGAATCCACCAGCTGCTGCATGGGAGAAAGATGGGCAGTCTCTGCAATTTACAGCTTCTGAAAACCCTCTGGAGGGTCAGTTTTAAGTAGTTTATAGCTTGACCCTGTGCTATCCTGTGCCCCCTCACATTTCCTGATACGCTAGAGCCCATTGCAGCAGTCATCAGCCCATTGCAGCAGTCAACAGGTCAATCCACTTGGTTGAGTGTCTTTCTCTCCTTTAGTGACCCTCCACCTTTCCAAGCAGCATGTCTCTCTCCAAGGAATAGCCCCTCTTAGCAACATGTCCAAAGTATGTGAAGCAAAGCCTCATTATTCTTGCCTCCAAAAAGCCCTCTTGCCCTTGTCATGTCACCTAAACCATCCTATTTCTTCTATCTTTTAGGAAAACAGTCAGAAAAAGGATCCACTTCATAACTGTGACCAACAACGGGTATTAAGGATCAGCAGCATCAGTATCGTTTGGGAACTTGTTAGGTGCTGTTGAGTCAACTCTGATTCATAGTGTCACTTTGTACAACAGATGAAAATACTGCCTGGGCCTGCCCCATCCTCACCCTCTTTGCTACAGTTCAACTCATTGTTGCAGCTACTATACCAGTCTGTCTTGTTGTGGGTCTTCCTCTTTTTCACTCACCGTGTTCTTTATTAGGCATGATGTCTGTTTCCAGACTGGCACTTCCTAATCACATACCCTAATAACATAATATATGAGAAGAAGTCTAACAGTACTTGCTTCTAAGGGGCATTCTGGTTGCACTTCTTCCTAGACATATTTGTTTGTTCTTTTCAATCTATATGTGGAACACATTATCTGGGAGGCTGGGCTCTATGAGGAAAAGTGTGGCATCAGGATTGGAGGAAGACTCATCGACAATCTTTAAATTGACATCTTTTCTCTTTAGTACTTTAAAGAAGTCCTTGGCAACAGACTTGTCTAGTGCAATATATAGTTTGATTTTGTGACCGATGCTTCCTTCAGTGTTGATTGTGGATTCAAGTAAAATGAAATCACTCACAGTATCAGCCTGTTCTCCATTTGCCATGTTGTTGTTTATTGGTCCAATTGTGAGAATTTTTGTTTTCTTTATATTGAGATTGTTAGATATGGGAATTTTAGAGCACTATCTCAAAATTTCTCTTGGTCTCCTGACTTCTGGTACTAAGTATATTCATTGTGGATCCAAGTAAGGTTGAGGTCATTCCTAATCTTAACCCATTCTCGATCTGTCATGATGTTGCCTGTGGGTCCATTGATGAGGATTTTTGTTTTCCTGATGTTGAGATGTAATCCATATGGAAGACTCAGTGTTTAACTTTCTTCAGCAAGTTCTTAAGGTCCTTCCTGCTCACTCTCAGCAAGCAAAGTTGTGTAATCCAAAAAAAGGTTATTGCTGAATCTTCCTCCAATCCTGATGCCAGGTAGATACAGAGAAAGGATACAACCCTGATACATACCTTTCCCAATTTTAAACCTTTTCTTGGTTCACACAACAGCCTCTTAAGTACAAGTTTTACATGAGCTCAGTTAAGTGTTCTTAAATTTCCATTCTTCTCAGTGTTAGCTGTAACTTGTTATGATCCACAAAGCCAAATGCTTTTGCATATGTGATAAAGCATGAATAGACACTCTTCTGTTAATCTTTTCTTGCAGCCAGGATCCATCTGATATCAGCGATGATATCTGTGGCACCACAGGCTTTTATAAATCCAGCATGAATGTCTGGCAGTATTGCACTAGGAAAATCTGTAGTCAGGGAACTCTCCAAGTTATTAAGGAGTAATGATTTCAGTTTGAGGTCTAAGGGGCACCTAATTTAGGCCATGATCTCGTCAGTCATCTGAGCACTAGATATTGACTAAGTATGACAGAAAAGAATTATCTCGTTGAACTGTGGTGTTGGAGAAGAGTGCTGAAGAGTCCATAGACTGCCAAAAGAATAAACAGATAAGGCTTTGAGAAGGTGCAGTCCAGAGTGTTCTTTGAAGGCGAGGATTAAGAGGCTTAGTCTCATCTACTTTGGATATTTTGCTAGAAGTTATTCCTTGGAGAGGAACTTCCTGCTTGGGAAGGTGGTGGGGCGATGAAGGAGAGGAACACTCCCAACCAGGTAAGTTGACTGTGTCAATGGGCTTGATTGTGTCAGAGATTGTGAGAATGCCTTGGGAAAGGACAGTGTTCAGATCAGTTGTTCATAGGGAGGCTATGAGTTGCACTCAACTTGACTGCACCTAACATGTCTAAGTTGGAGTAACTGAGCCATGGTGGCACAAGGCCATGAACTTCTCTCAGAAAGGACCAGAGGGTGTAAGGATAGCATAGCCCCTCACTGCTCAAGAGCAGAAACTTGATAAAGAACCTGTAGCCCAGCCCCATGGTGCCTCTAGAGCCCCAGAAGCAGCAAGAGAGTCATGCATTCATTGCTGAGTCACAGCCTTGACAGTTATGGCACCAAAAATGGAGTTTATTTGGGAAGTGAGGGAGGGAGGTAAAGAATATCTTACAATACAGCCTCAGGTGTTATGGTCCAACAGTTCCAAGGTACCTTCAATAAGTCCAAACTCTGGTTTCAGTTCAGCAGTCAAATCCAAATTATCCAACAAGGTTTGCCTCAGAGTGGTTATAACCAATTCACAAAGCAAGGTTTGTCTCAGAGCAGTTATACATAAGTTTCTCCTTCAAACATCTGGCACAAACAGCCAAACCTATAACTATGGCCACCACAAATACAAAAAGCCTCAGGTCCTATCTTGCCACTGTTTTTCCACAGCAATGCCACAGTCTCTCCATAACCAGGGTCTCACTCGCATTAGGGTCTTGCCACCAACAAGCCTTGCTTGCCTCAAGTCTTGCTGCCCAGTATGGGAAGCATTCTTTTGCTTATCCTAGTCAACAGCTGATGCTAATTTGCAAGACCATGTATAGGCTGTTAAGGTAGCTGGATACCAGAGGTTAATGATTGGCCAAAAAAAAAAAAAAAAAGTCAAACAAAACAAAGCCACCACACCAACTTTTAGGCTATTACTACACAACAATGCAGGCAATTTCAAAATTTCAGAATCAGAACCTGACAGTGGGGCACAGCTATCCATGTTTTAACAAAGTGCACAGTGATTCGGATACATGCTTCAGTCTGAGGATCACTTTGCAGTGTGTTGTTGTTGTTATGTGTCATCGAGTTGCTTGCGATTC